GATGTGTGTGTGTGTGTGTGTGTGTGTGTGTGTGTGGGGGGGGGGGGTCAGTATCCAAGATCCCAAGACCAACCAGATGTGAACAACTAGGAATTTTCTTTCCAAAACGATCATCTTTAAACATTTCTGCACATCATGATTCAAGCTTTAACACACGAGGGGCCATTTGAAGCTGATTTTGACATTTTATTACAAATAACACGGTGCAAAATAAAACATGAAAATATTACGCACCTTTGCACCGTCTCTAATATTGAACGTTTTGTGTCTGAAAGATGTCAGCCACACTAAAAAGGAGAAAACCTTTGCAATGTCAAGAAAGAATGAAAATTGCTGCAAAAGTCCATTTCTATTCCACCTAAATTTAATATATGTGGTCGCTCTGGGTTTATGTGATGCATATTTTCCTCATGTAAGAGGAAAAAAAGCACCTCTTCCATTCAGACATATCTAGGACAGCGTTCAACAGAGAGGAAAATAATCCCATTTTCCACTGACTCTGAAGGCGGTGTTCGGGAAGCAAGGCAAATCATATATCATTTTATTTCTTGGCTGAATTTTAACCATGCTAACAGGCTTGGACTGTGTGTGTGCGTGTGTGTGTGTGTGTTGCAGTGCGAGAGCTAATCTTACTGCTGGGTTGCTGTTTTCCTCCTCTACCACCCACACATCTCTTCCACATACAAACGCCACTGCACTTGACAGCCAATCGCTACCTCTCCTTCTTTGTATTGCTTTTACCTGCGTCACTCTGCACATGTTGCCATGGTGATCACTGATGCTCCCCTCTCCACACACACACACACACACACACACACACACACTGTGTCTCTGCTCTAGTACGAGGATGAAGCTGACTTGTGGCTGGTGATGCAGGCAGGCTGCAGACGTCATCACTCCCTTGGGAAAAAGGTCTATTTTTACTGCTGGGCACAACGTATACCAAGCTGCCAAACATATTTATGGAAGCTCATTTAATCCCTGCCTGCCCAGAAATGTCTTTCCCCATGCTGTGCCCATCTTCCTCAAAAAACCTGCCCTCTCCGAGGCATGTCTTGTTCCGCTGAGTTAAGACGGTGTAGTTTGTGAAAATGTGAGTATGATACAGTCACCAAAGTCAAGTCAACTTTATTTGTAGAGCACATTTAAAACAGAACCTGTTATCAAAGTGCTTAACAACAACAATCAATGAGTAAATTAAAGAGAAAAATATATAATATATATACAATACACTAATAATAAAAACTGAAGAATTAATAAAAAGCATTTAAAACATGGGGTCACAGATTAAAAAACACTAGATCAATTTACACTGTATGAAATGCCTGAGAGAACAGATGTGTTTTTAGCAGGGATTTGAAGTGAGGAAGGGAGGTGGCCTGCCTGATGTTGGGGGGCAGGTTGTTCCACAGTTTGGGGCCCATGACTGAAAAAGCCCGACCTCCTCTGAGCTTCAGTCTTGTTTTTGGAACAGCCAAAAGCAGCTGATCAGATGATCTCAGTGCCCGAGAGGGAACGTAAGGTTCCAGAAGCTGAGAGGTAAAGGGGTGCGAGGCCATTTAGGCATTTGAAGGTCAACAGAAGAATTTTAAAAACTATCCTCGTACGAACAGGGAGCCAGTGAAGGGAAGACAGAACTGGTGTAATATGTTCAGACCTACGAGTTCCGGTTAAAAGCCGAGCAGCAGCATTCTGGATGAGCTGAAGATGTGAGATGGAGGCCTGGCTGATCCCAGCATACAGTGCGTTGCAATAGTCCAATCGGGTCGTGACAAAGGCGTGGACTAGTTCCTCAAGGTCGGGTCTGGACAACACTGGCTTGAGCTTAGCTACCTGTCTGAGTTGGAAGAAGCTTTTCTGCAGAACAGAGTTGATTTGTTTGTCAAACTTGAAGTCAGAGTCTAAAACCATCCCGAGATTTTTACCAGACTGCTTCAGATATGACTGAAGAGAGACACCGGCGCCATCATTACTCACCCTTTAGAGAAAGACCACATAAGAAATAGTGACCTCTGATTTAAGTTCAGTCTTTTATCATAAATTGCCATGAAAGAAAACTGAACAATTTCAGGCTGACAGCACCCACTGGCCACAATGATTTTTTTTTTTTTACTGGGAAAGTGAATATTATAATGCAGTAGATTTGAAAGCAGATTTGAGTGTTTTTTTTAAGATGATAAAAATTACCAAAGGTGCGCTAGGCTACTGTAAATCACTAACATGGTAGAAGGAAACAACAGTATTCAATTAAAAAAGCTAAAGCATTCAACATTACTCCCATGTTAAGGTGTTAACTCGATAATGTCTAACATGGCAACAAGTTAGTGCAAGCTGGAGCTCAATAAGACTGAAAAAAGATGGAGCTCATTATCTGGCACGTTTTTTTTTATTTTTTATATTTTATCCTCTGAAGTTTAATAAATAAGGAATAAATCCAAAAAAATACTATTATCGAATCTAGAACTATTAAACAGACGAACAGGTTACAAAGGAGACCGTTTGTTTTTGACGT